GGCAGGATTTTGGGCATTTTTAGGGACAGGATTTTGGACCACTTTGGGCAGAATTGGGGCGTTTTTAGGGCCAGGATTTTGAGCAAAATTTGGGCATTTTTAGGGGCGGGATTTTGGGGCATTTTGGGCAGAATTGGGGCATTTTTAGGGGCAGGATTTTGGGGTATTTTATGCAAAATTTGGGCATTTTTAGGGGCGGGATTTTGGGGCATTTTGGGCAGAATTGGGGCATTTTCAGGGGTCATTTTGGGAGGGATTTGGGGGCTCCACGAGGCCTTTCCCGGTGGGGTCCCCCCCTGACCCCCCCCATTCCCGGTGCCCCTCCCCCAGGCATGGAGGAGCCGGGCGGGAGCCGCGGGGGCTTCCTGGGGGTCGCCCCTCCCCCGCCCTGGGAGCGGCCCGCGCCGCCCCCAGCCCCGATCGGGGGCGGGGGTCCCGAGCTGGAGTACGTGGACCTGGACGAGTTCCTGGGGGTCCCGGGGGGGGCCCCTTCGACCCGCGGCGGCTGCGCTTCTCGCAGGAGGAGCTGCGGCCGCAGCCCATGGCCCGCAAGGCCCGCAAGGTGCACGTGCCCGAGGAGCAGAAGGTGAGGAGGGGGTTGGGGGGGGGGCTGGCTGGCCCCTGTCACCTGGCGTGTCCCGTGTGTCCGTCCCCTGTCCCTGTGTCCATCCCGTGCCCCTGTGTCCATTCTGTGTCCCCTCTGTCCATTCCATGTCCCCTGTGTCCGTCCCCTGTCACCTCGGTGTCCCCTGTGTCCATCCCCTGTCCCTGTGTCCATCCCGTGTCCCCTCTGTCCATCCCCTGTCACCTGGCATGTGCCGTGTGTCCGTCCCCTGTTCCCTCTGTCCATCCCCTGTCCCCTCTGTCCATCCCCTGTCCCCTGGGCTGTCCCCTGTGTCCCCTCTGTCCATCCTGTGTCCCCTGTGTCCATCCCCTGTCACCTGGCATGTCCCGTGTGTCCGTCCCCTGTCCCCTGTGTCCATCCTGTGTCCCCTCTGTCCATCCCGTGTCCCCTGTATCCATCCCCTGTGTCCATCCCCTGTCCCCTGTGTCCGTCTCCTGTCCCCTCTGTCCATCCCCTGTCCCGTGTGTCCATCCCGTGTCACCTGAGCCATCCCCTGTGCCCTGTGTCCATCCCTTGTCACCTGTGTCCATCCTGTGTCCCCTGTGTCCATCCCCTGTCACCTCGGTGTCCCCTGTGTCCATCCCGTGTCCCCTGTGTCCATCCGGTGTCCCCTGTGTCCATCCCCTGCGCCACGGCCAGATCTGAGGGGTTTGGGATCCCGGGATCCTGGGATCCACCTGGAGGGGTTTGGGATGGTCCCAGAACAGCCCCAGGAGATCCAGGACTGATCCAGGACTGACCCAGCTCTTCCGCGCCCTGCTGGCGCGCTACGAGGCGCGCCACGGCCAGATCTGAGGGATCCCGGGATCCCGGGATCCACCTGGATCCACCTGGAGGGGTTTGGGATGGCCCCAGGTGATCCAGGAGTGATCCAGGACTGACCCAGGTCATCCAGAACACCAGAAGATCCAGGACTGACCCAGTGCCCTGCTGGCGCGCTACGAGGCGCGCCACGGCCAGATCTGAGAGATCCCGGGATCCTGGAGGGGTTTGGGATCCTGGAAAGGTTTGGGATGGCCCCAGGTGATCCAGGATGGCCCCAGGTGATCCAGGACTGATCCAGGACTGATCCAGGACTGACCCAGCGCTTCCACGCCCTGCTGGCGCACTACGAGGCGCGCCACGGCCAGATCTAAGGGGTTTGGGATCCTGGAGGGGTTTGGGATCCACCTGGAGGGGGTTGGGATCCACCTGGAGGGGTTTGGGATGGCCCCAGGTGATCCAGGATGGCCCCAGGTGATCCAGGACTGACCCAGGACAGTTCTAAAGCTTCCGCGCCCTGCTGGCGTGCTACGAGGCGCGCCATGGCCAGATCTGAGGGGTTTGGGATCCCGGGATCCTGGGATCCACCTGGAGGGGTTTGGGATGGCCCAGGTGATCCAGGACTGACCCAGGTCATCCAGAACCCCAGGACTGACACAGGATGGCTCCAGGTGATCCAGGACTGACCCAGGACAGCCCCAGCGCCCTGCTGGCGCGCTACGAGGCGCGCCACGGCCAGATCTGAGGGATCCCGGGGGATTGGGATCCACCTGGATCCACCTGGAGGGGTTTGGGATGGCTCCAGGTGATCCACGAGTGATCCAGGAGTGATCCAGGATTGACCCAGCGCTTCCGTGCCCTGCTGGCGCGCTACGAGGCGCGCCACGGCCAGATCTGAGGGGTTTGGGATCCTGGAGGGGTTTGGGATCCACCTGGAGGGGTTTGGGATGGCTCCAGGTGATCCACGAGTGATCCAGGAGTGATCCAGGACTGACCCAGCGCTTCCGTGCCCTGCTGGCGCGCTACGAGGCGCGCCACGGCCAGATCTGAGAGATCCCGGGGGATTGGGATCCACCTGGATCCACCTGGAGGGGTTTGGGATGGCCCCAGGTGATCCAGAACAGCCTCAGGTGATCCAGGACTGACCCAGGACATCCAGAACCCCAGGACTGACCCAGGACAGCCCCAGTGCCCTGCTGGCGCGCTACGAGGCGCGCCACGGCCAGATCTGAGGGGTTTGGGATCCTGGAGGGGTTTGGGATCCACCTGGAGGGGTTTGGGATGGCTCCAGGTGATCCACGAGTGATCCAGGAGTGATCCAGGACTGACCCAGCGCTTCCGTGCCCTGCTGGCGCGCTACGAGGCGCGCCACGGCCAGATCTGAGGGATCCTGGGATCCTGGAGGGGTTTGGGATCCACCTGGAGGGGTTTGGGATCCACCTGGAGGGGTTTGGGATGGCCCCAGGTGATCCAGGATGGCCCCAGGTGATCCAGGACTGACCCAGGACAGTTCTAAAGCTTCCGCGCCCTGCTGGCGTGCTACGAGGCGCGCCATGGCCAGATCTGAGGGGTTTGGGATCCCGGGATCCGCCTGGAGGGGTTTGGGAGGGCCCCAGGTGATCCAGAACAGCCTCAGGTGATCCAGGACTGATCCAGGACTGACCCAGCGCTTCCGCGCCCTGCTGGCGCGCTACGAGGCACGCCACGGCCAGATCTGAGGGGTTTGGGATCCCAGGATCCACCTGGAGGGGTTTGGGATGGCCCCAGGTGATCCAGGACTGACCCAGGACATCCAGAACCCCAGGACTGACCCAGGACAGCCCCAGCGCCCTCCTGGCGCGTTACGAGGCGCACCACGGCCAGATCTGAGAGATTTGGGGGTTTGGGATCCACCTGGAGGGGTTTGGGATGGCTCTGGGTGATCCAGGACTGACCTAGGACAGCCCCAGGTGATCCCAGACTGCCTTGGAGGGATTTGGGGCTGCACCGAGAGCCTGGAGCGGTTTGGGGACGGTTTGGAGGGATCTGGGCCAGCTCCGGGCGATCCAGGAACGTGTGGATGGATTTGGGGACAGTTTGGAGAGATCTGGGACAGCTCCGGGTGATCCAGGAACACGTGGATGGATTTGGGGACAGTTTGGAGGGATCTGGGACCGCACAGAGGGATCTGGGACAGCTCCGGGCGATCCAGGAACGCGGATCCCGCGGGACGATTCGGGATCCCAACCGGATCCAGCACCAGGCACGGCACCGGGATCGGGTGCTGGATCAAGGACCGGGACCCAGTGAGGAGATCCAGAACCGGGACCCAGCGAGGAGATCCAGAACTGGGATCCAAACCCAGGACCCAGCACCCCACACAGCACTGGGATCTGGGACCGGGTGCTGGATCCAGAACTGGGATCCAGCGAGGAGATCCAGAACTGGGATCCAGTGAGGAGATCCAGAACCCAGTGATGGGATCCTGAACTGGGACCCCGACCAGGACCCAGTGAGGAGATCCAGGACCAGGGTCCAGTGTGGAGATCCAGATTTGAGACCCAGAGAGGAGATCCAAAACCGGAACCCAGCACTGGGACCCCGTGAGAAGATCCAGAACCGGGAGCCAGAACTGGGATCCAGTGAGGAGATCCAGAACCAGGACCCAAAACTGGGATCCAGAACCGGAGTCCAGTGAGGAGATCCAGACCCCAGTGACTGGATCCAGAACCGGGATCAGAACCAGGACCTAAAACTGGGATCCAGTGCTGGGATCCTGAACTGGGATCCAGTGAGAAGATCCAGAACCAGGACCCAAAACTGGGATCCAGAACCCCTTGAGAAGATCCAGGACCCCATGATTGGACCCAGAACCGGGATCCAGTGAGGAGATCCAGAACCAGGACCCAGAACTGGGATCCAGTGCTGGGATCCTGAACTGGGATCCAGTGAGAAGATCCAGAACCGAAACCCAGAACTGGGATCCAGAACCCCGTGAGAAGATCCAGGACCCCGTGACTGGACCCAGAACCGGGATCCAGTGATTGGATCCAGAACCAGGACCCAGTGATTAATTCCCCCCTCACATTTCCCTCTATTTTCCCCTCACTATCCCCCCACATTTCCTTCCAGTTTCCTTCTCACATTTCCCTCCATTTTCCCCTCATGTTTCTCACCATTTTCTCCTCACATTTTCCCCATTTCCCCTGCAATTTCCCTCTATTTTCCCCTCAAATTTCCCTCATTTCCTCCTCTCACGCTTCCCTCTATTTTTCCCTCATATTTAACCCATTTTCCCCTCACATTTCCCCCATTTTCCCCTCACATTTCCCCATTTTCCCCTCACTTTGCCCACCATTTCCCCCTCTCATTTGCCGCCATTTTCCCCTTGTTTCCCGCCCTTTTCACCCTCATGGTTTCCCTCCATTTTCCCGTTTCCCTCCATTTTCCCCTCACGATTCCTTTCTTTTCCCTTCACTTCACACACCATTTTCCCCTCACATTTCCACCATTTCCCCCTCACGTTTCCCTTCAGTTTTCTCCTCACATTTTGCTCCATTTTCCCCTCATGTTTCCCGCCCTTTTCACCCTCACATTTCCCCCATTTTCCCCTCATGTTTTCCCTCCATTTTCCCATCACATTTCTCTCCATTTTCCCCTCACATTCACCACCATTTTCCCCTCACAGTCACCGCCATTTCCCCCTCATGTTTCCCCCAATTTTCCCCTCACATTTCCCCCATTTTCCCCTCGTGTTTCCCTCCATTTTCCCCTCACAATTCCTTTCTTTTCCCTTCACTTCACACACCATTTTCCTGTTCACATTTCCACCATTTCCCCCTCATATTTCTCACCATTTTCCCCTCATGTTTCCACCATTTTCTCCCCTCACATTTCCCGCCCTTTTCACCCTCATATTTTCCCTCCATTTTCCCCTAATTTTTCCCCAATTTTCCCCTCACATTTCCCTCCATTTTCCCCTCACATTTCCCTCCATTTTCTCCCCTCGTATTTCCCCCGTTCTACTCTCACGTTTTCCTCCATTTTCCCCTCACATTTTTGCCCTTTCCCCCCCTCAATTTCCCTCCATTTTCCCCTCACATTTCCCCCATTTCCCCCTCACATTTCCCTCCATTTTCTCCCATCATATTTCCCCCATTCTACCCTCATGTTTTCCTCCATTTCCCCCTCACATTTCCACCATTTCCCCCTCACTTTTCCCTCTATTTTCCCCTCACATTTTCCTCGTTTTCCCCTCACATTTCCGCCCTTTTTCCCCCCTCAATTTCCCTCCATTTTCCCCTCAATTTTCCCCATTTTCCCCTCAGATTTCCACCCCCAGGACTCCTCCCCAAAACCCCCAGGATTCCTCCCAAAAATCCTCCAGGACCCCTCCCCAAAATCCCCAGGATTCCTCCCCTAAAACAAAACAAAACAAAACAAAAAAATGGAATCTGAACTGGGAGAACTGGGAGGGGGGAGGGGCGCGCTGGGAGGGGGGAGGGACCCCGAGACCCCCCCCCAAAAAAAAACCCCAAAACCTCGGGGTCGCCCCAAGGTTGGGTTTTATTGCACAGAGAAGGGGCCCAAAGCTCCCCCTGGGAGTCCCCAAATTCCCTTGGGGAGCCCCAAAAATCCCCAAGTCTCCCCAAAACCGGGACCTTGGGGGTCCCCGCGCGTCCCCCCTGGCTGTCCCCCCCCTCTGAGGGGACCCCTTGGAGTCGATTTTTGGAGTCGATTTTTGGGGGTGGTGCTGGGACCCCTCCCTGGGGCGAATATCAATGAGATACTGCGGTTTGTGCCCCAAAAATCCCCAAAATCCTGAGGTTTGTACCCCAAAATCCCTGAAATAATGGGGTTTGTACCCAAAAAATCGCCCAAATCCTTGGGTTTGTACCCAAAATATCACTGGAATCCTGAGGTTTGTACCCCAAATATCCCTGAAATCCCAGGGTTTGTACCCCAAATATCCGCAAAATCCTGGGTCTTCTACACCAAATATTCCCCAAATCCTGGGGCTTGTGCCCCAAAAATCCCCGAAATCCCAGTGTTTGTACCCCAAATGTCACAGGAATTGTCCCCAAAATCCCCCAAAGAAGTGGGGGAGGCACTGGGGACCCCAAATATGGAGAGGGGTCATTTCCCACCCAATTCACACTCCCTTTTCCCCCATTTCCCCCTCACATTTCCTTTCTTTTCCCCTCACTTTTGCCCACGATTTCCTCCTCACATTTCCTCAGGGACATTGGGGGGATTGTGGACATTGGGGACATCGGGGACATTGAGGGGACATCGGGGGGATTGGGGACATTTGGGCACATTGGGGACAATCAGGGAATTGGGAACATCTGGGGGACATTGGGGGTGACATCAAGGTGACCCTGAGGTGTCCCCAAAGCCCCCAGGAGTGTCCCCAATGTCCCCAATCCCCCCAAAGCCCCCAGGCTGTCCCCAAGGATGTCCCCAGAGCTGTCCCCAAGTGTCCCCGATGTCCCCAGGGCTGTCCCCAAGGCTGTCCCCAGGGCTGTCCCCGTGTCCCTAGGTGTCCCCAAGTGTCCCCAAGGATGTCCCCAGGGCTGTCCCCAGTGTCCCCGATGTCCCCAGGGCTGTCCCCAGGGCTGTCCCCCGTGTCCCCAGTGTCCCCGATGTCCCCAGGGCTGTCCCAGTGTCCCCAAGTGTCCCCGATGTCCCCAAGGATGTCCCCAGGGCTGTCCCCGTGTCCCCAGGTGTCCCCGATGTCCCCAAGGCTGTCCCCAGTGTCCCCAAGTGTCCCCAAGTGTCCCCAAGTGTCCCCAAGGATGTCCCCAAGGCTGTCCCCGTGTCCCCAGGTGTCCCCGATGTCCCCAGGGCTGTCCCCGTGTCCCCAGTGTCCCCGTGTCCCACCTGCTGCAGCTCCTCGTAGCTGATCCAGAAGAAGTTCTCGGAGCCGCGGAGCTGCAGCCACCCCCGGACGTGCTGGAACCAGGAGCCGAAGGGCACTGGGGACACGGGGACACGGGGACACTCGGGGACAGCCCAGGGACACCCCGGGGACACCCTGGGGATGGCCCAGGGACACTCGGGGACACTCGGGGACAGCCCCGGGACATCGGTGGTGCCCCAGAGCCCCAAATCCACAATTTCCAGCCCCAAATCCAAGATTTCTGACCCAAAATCCCAAATTTCCGGCACCAAATTCTGAATTTCCAGCCCCAAATCCCAAATTTCTGACCCCAAATCCCCAATTTCTGACCCAAAATCCCAAATTTCCGGCGCCAAAATCTGAATTTCCAGCCCCAAATCCTCCCAAAATCTGAATTTCCAGCCCCAAATCCTCCCAAATTCTGAATTTCCAGCCCCAAATTCCCCCCAAATCCCAAATTTCTGACCCCAA